GGTACCATTAATCATGTTCCAAATCCCATCTTTTCTTCCTGTCCATTTCAGTTCTTTAATAATAAGGTTATTTTTAGGTTGATGCTGACTAGATTATAAACATACCTGTAGGCTGTCCCAATGTATTCACTAAGGAAAGACATGCACATGGGCATAAAACTCACCAAGCCCCAGACCGGAGCTGAGTTTGATAAAGACTGAAGGGAGACTGTCCTGCTAGTCCCTGTTCAGGTGAAATCTGCTAATTCAGCTCTAGTGCCAGGCAAGCTCTCCTGCCTGCCAGCAAGGCTGAGGGTCTCTAGGCAGCAAGAAAGCTGAATTATCCACTTGAAAATATGAATATTATGATTGATATGAGCTAATCCAGGGCTACTCAGCCACTGTTACCATGACTCTGCAGTACTCAAGGATTCTTGCTCTGGGAAGACAAAACTTTTCTGCTGTTTCCTAGTTGCACAGATCATACAAGGCAGTCTATTATAGCCGGCATTAAGATCAGGTCATCTATAAGGGCTGGGGAGGCATTCAAGAAAGTAATCCAGATTCACAGACTTTTTATGCACCAGGGTGCTCATCATCCAACAGCCTGGCTTCTTCATCAGTTTCATATCTCCTATCACCACCTGAAACATCTGGTCCTCATCCATATCTTTAAACCTAATAATGCCTTGAATATCAGTGCAGCTACATTTGTGTGAGCCAGGTTGACTCTAATGCTAACTTGCTGATTTAGACATTTAAAACCTGTATGTGGACAACAATTTATCAAAAATTGAAGGTCAGGAACCTGCAACCTTTTCAAGAAATTTCTGAAGGGACACTGAGCATCCTGCATACATTTTTTCTGTGTTCTAGAAGAAAGTTAACATAGTATATTTTCTAGTCAAAGGACTACTCTAATAATGGATTTATTGACCCTGGGACCAACATCTCCTCCTGTGAGATTTATGAAACAGGTGTTTTGCCCTGATTCCTTATCAGATTATTAAATAAAGGGAGGGCACAGATAGAATAAGTTTAAGGCATATACACAGGTAAGATAGGTTATTTACAGATTCAGAGCTGGTTCCGTTAAGAACCAGTCCAGGTATTTTATTATTCACCATTTTTATTATTATTATTTACAAAACAGATTTCAACTTATCTATTTACCAGCATGTCATATTTGCCCTCTGCCTTTCTCAGTAGGGATTATCTTGTATGTACACAGATGGCTACAGAGCTTGTCTGTCTCTCATCCTCACCTAATCATTACGGTTCAACAAAAGGTGAACATGACAATTATGAAAGAGTGGACAGAATGTTTAAAAAGCAACAATAACCAATAGCAGCAGGTGTACAGTTTGAGTGATTAAACCTGTGCATCACCTAACAAAATGAGAGTGAAACAAAATAGAGAAGAAACATCGGAAAGAAGTCAAACAGGAATTGGAAGCTGATCCTTTAGGATGCCAATAAAAATAACATGTCATATTCTAGAAGGTTCAAGCATATTATTCTCACTGGCTGTCACACTCCTTTGCAGGTCCTCAACCCAGAAAACCTCAGCAGTTTAGCATGTTCAAGACAGTTAATGAACAAATGGACCATATGCCTTTTTAATATCATATTTCAAAGGTCTTAAGAGGTGCCAGGGTTTCTGTCTCAAAGGATACCCTATTACAAGTGAATGTTAAGAGAATAACATTTATGGAGAATTAATATGCATGTTAGTTGACAACAAAGAACAACATAGAAGATTTTTGCTTCTTCACTATTTACTTGTGATTTTTTTTTTTCCCCCCAAAGTGCCAAATTTTCAATAATTACCATGGAGTAATCCTCTGGCATTCCTTGTCCAGAATTCTCCATCCAGAATAAAGCACTCTTTGTTTCCATAATTCCTGTACTGATCAACATGTTCTTAAACCCCCTCTTCTCCAGTTCCCTGGTCACACACTACCTGGAGACACAGACTTTGCGTTGAGAAATCTGGTAAGGAAACAGGGAGAGTTTTGAACAGTACCCATGCAAGAAGTGCTCAAACTACAGTGGAGACTCTGATGGTGAAGAACACTATACCATACAAACATCTGCCTTTTCCACGGTGTTTAGTGGATGGTTTAGTTTCTGTCAACAAGGTAAGACACTACTATGTGGCTATAAGAGCCACTGCAAAGCAATCATGGTAAAACGCCAATAATTTTTTATAACCCTGGATAAACATCTTTGTCTGTATTTCACCAGGCTTAAGGGAAAGGATCATGCATTGTAAATATCCAAACAGGTGCTCACAGATTCTTACAATGTCCTCAAATTAAATGTCTTCTCCCATGCTATTCCCGTTCTGCTAATAAGGGCCGGCTGGAGTCCCATTCACTTACTAAGGCGGGCTCTGTTACACTTTAAAATTAGAAAAGATGTTACTAAAGTATCAGAAATTTTAGTCTTTATGGTACCCACACAGCCATAAAATACACCCTACAGCTTTTCTTATCAATATCCTTGAGTGCTCTGTTGTGACTTAGACTGCCATCATTGGTGTAGGGCTCTGCAAGGGTCTCACAAGCTAGAATGCTAATATGCCATAGGGAAAAAAAAAATGCACTGGAGAAAGGTAAGGTGAATGCAGCAAGCGTCCTAATAACTTCAGCAGAAGGTAGGCATTTCCAGTGTGTCCTGACACCGATAAATATATTTAAGTCTTTCCATTGCAGCATTTTGTACCTCAAAAATAGAAAACAGGAAGCTCTAAATTGGCCTGTCTTCTGCTTTGCCATTTACAAATCCATAACTGCTAGCAGAAAAGACTACAGAAAACAAAGATGGTGCAGAGGTGATATGTGCTAGCCCATTAAAAAAAGCAAAGCTCTGCCTAATGTTAAAGCACTAAAATTTTCTTTGAAAAATTAACCTGTAATTGAAATATTCAACAGTATTTCTGCTCGGTGCTTCTAAACATGAAATTACATGTTCCTCTAAGAAGCCCAGCAAAACTAACCCAAATTAACCCCAGACTCCAGAAACAGAAATAATACAACACTTTGTTTTCGTTGTGGTTCTTTTTAAATGGAAGAGCAGAATTTATAATTTTTTTTAATTTTAAATTTGTAAATGACAAACTGGCTTTGCTAAGATCACAGGGTAATCTGAAGCACCAAACTAATCTAAGTTACACATCTTGAAAGGTCTGTGCCTGAATCATAATTTCCTGAGTACAAAGCGAAGTATGACAAAGATTTGGAGATTTGTGATACCCCAGTTTTGTTTGCTGACACTCCAGTTAATGCAAAGAAGGTTAAAACTATTCCCAGTCTATCAGTAATTAGGGGACCCCTACCATTTATCTTTGCTTTCTCTCTTACCCATTATCCCAACACATGTTGCCTTGTAAAATGCTGACAACTTGTAAACCTTGTAAAATACTGATAACTTTATAGACTCACGTGACCTTTGAGCATATAATTTTGTGCTTCTGAAAAATGGGCTTTTTGTTCTTCTTTTAATGGAAATGAAGAGACTGATTTCATTCGTAGTAACTGCTAGGAGAATCTGTCTTTGTTCTTATGAACTACTTTTTGCCACTATATCACTTGCTACTAAAGCGATCATGGATCATGGGCATGTATGAGAAGAACTAGTGTTTTTTGCAACCATTGGAACCACTAGGAAAGAAATCTTTTATCTTCTCACTAAGGGACGGAGCAAATAAACCCCCCTACATCTCAGAGTATGTAAATCAGATCACCCCTGCAGCCTTAACCCTCAGTACTTCAGAACTCGCGTGACTGCACATCAGGGTCCCATCTGCAGACCTGAAAGCCTCTTCTCTTATCAACAAACCAGCAGAGATCACCCACTGTTCAACAGCAGGAACTAGTCCATGAAAACAGTCATGCAAAACAAAGGGATTAGTTATACAACTCTGATTTGTTACATGGCCACAATACCAGTTGAAGAGAGCTATTTCAACGGTCATATATACCCGGGCAATGAAACCATGAGCCATCACAAAAGAAAAGAAATGTTTTTGGTGAAATAAAGAACCACAACATCTGAGTAGTTCTGAAGTGGTAAATAACAATAATAGCCAGTTCTGTGAGCCTGGAAGCACAGAGAACACCTTCAGCCTTCAATAATGGCATAATTAACTGGCTGTCACTAGGCAAGTACCCAGGTTACATTTTTTTAAATGCTGAGATTGATTTTTGTTTTTCTTTCAGTGCTAAATAATAATGTGTCAATACTGTCTAATAGATTGTCTAAGAACAAAAATGGGGCACAGCTAGATCTTAGACAAGTATACTTCATCCCTAATGATGAAGAAATGTGAAGGGGACAGAAGAGGAAACACACAAAATTTCTGTTTGTACTTGGAATTTGGGTATCGAAAAGTTTTTTTAAGAAAGAACAAGAAAAACACCTGATCCTTTAGCCAAGCACTGTAGTTTGCACTGTGATGATGAGGCAACCCATTTGAATGCATTTATGTAGAACAGACAGTTGGTTCTGTACTGTATTTTGTATTCCCCAGGTAATTCAAAATTACTCAGAAGTCACGCCATGACTTTTATTTCTCTTCTTACTCTCGAATATGGAGTCAGAATTCAGAAACTGAAAAAACTGTGATTCAGGAAGTCCTTAAACACTAGAACAAATGTAAGAGTACTTGTGATTCAAGTAAGACATATACCTCATTGAACTGAGTGTCCAAATATACCACTTCATGCAGCACCAAGAGTGAGTTCTGAACACTGGTGATGCCATGAACTCAGCTTCTACCTCCATGAAGTTGGTGTATTGGTCAAAGAGAGCACGACTGGGCCTTCCGTGGAAAGCTGTGGTCTCCCCTCATGTGGTTTCACTGCTGGATGAAGTGAACTTCGGAAGTTAGTACCTGTTTCTCAAGGTGCTGTAACTTTCTGTCCCTCCCTCCCCTTTCAGCAGATTATTTGCATCTGTCAGACACTGGAGTTTTAAAGTAATATTAAAAACTTGTAGAATGCCAGATAATTTCTTACCATAGCCAAAGGGAGAACTCCTACCAAGTCCTTCTGGCTTATGTAGATCTTGGAGATTCCTAGATCAGATGTTGTATCCCCAGGATATTCTACCTGCCATGTGATGAGCTGCGTCCCAGGTAGGTCAGTTAGGTCTTCAATTTCAAAATCAATCTGCATGATTTCAGAAGAAGGATCATCCGCACTACAAGAAAGAAAGAAAAAGAAACGTTTCATTCACATGAATGAGGAGACAGCAATATAATTGCTTTTATATTAATAAAACATTGGATTAAGGCTCTTCCAAAGAGAAGATTTAGTGGGAGGACGGATTTAATAATGAATTAATAATTTGCACTTGTCTTAAGATTTCAGGGTATTTTGCCCACTTTCAAGTGGCTTAGTAACACTCTGTGACATGGATGACTAAGCACTGCTCCATTTTACAAGTGGAGAAACAAATCAAGGTAAAGCTAAGGCTAAAGCTACAGTCTAAAAATTCTGACTCCAGGGCTCTCCATTTAACAAGCACATTGTATTTCTGCCCTGTTAAAGCAACACACGAGCAAATCTAAAGGGAATCACTCCTTGAAATGGGAAACCACTGCATTAAAAGTATTTTCTGCTTTTTAAAGAGAGAGGCGTGGAAGAGAGGTCAAAGCTCAGGATGAGGTCCGTGAACCAGGGCAGCAGGGAGAAGAGGATTGGAAAACTTGGAATTAATTTTTGGCTGTACTGCTACCTTGCCGTGAATGTCTGTCTGAAGCTCCTTTTGTCCATGACTAAACTAGGAATTGTAGGTAATTTAGCTTGTTGTGGAAAAGGAGAGTTACAAAACTGGATTATTTAATATTGGTCAATCCTACCAGGATCCTTTAGTAAAAAACACTAGAAAAGAACAAAGAGTTACTAGATGTGATTCTCCAGGATACTCTGGCAGCACTGGGGTTACCCATATCTTATCAATGCTACTTCGTCTTTACATGCTGCTTTCCTAAGGTTATATGGGTTGATGTAAGTGAACACCATAAAGCAGAAATGTAAAGAGGGAAAATTGGAGAAGGGGTCATTGGTGCAATTCCTGCAAAGCTTGTTACAAAATCAGCTACTGTATGGAAAAGCAATGCAGTGAAATTTCTATTGTGTATCTTGGCAAGGTAAGCTCCATAGTCCAGAGGCATTTATAGAGCCAAGAAAATACGCAATTCACTGTAAAGTTGTTGAGGAATGTAGAATTTCTTCACAGTGCAGAAATCCAGGGGACATGGAGAATGACAGTGCTTTTACTTCTGAAGAACCAAAGGCTGAACAGATCTTCAGTGTTTGTGTGGAGTGGAAAGAGCAGAATTTCTTTCAGTGGGATAATACTCAACAAGAGAAAGAATGGCACAGCACAGAAGTGTTACAAGCCACTTATGTTGGAGAGGGCAAGCAGAAGAAAGAGGAAACATTTCAGCAACTGATTAGAGAATCCCAGAACGTGCCCAAAACCCAGCAGGTTTTCCCAGTTGATGTGGAAAACCAGCTAAAACTAGGCATATTTTTTTACAAAGGTAAGTTATGACAACAGCCCCAGCTTGGGATTCTTCCCAAAATACTCAGAGATTTTTATCTTGCTGGCTAAATCTAATGCTTTATCCAAAGCTACTGCACGAAGAGTTTAATCTGATCATCTTTAAGGTTCAGATTTTAACAGATGCATTGAGTTCTTGCTATCCTGGACGGAATTTAAAAGGAGCCTCTGTGTTTCCAAAATGTAACACTTTATGTTCAATTTCTCATTTGCTCATGTCAGAAAAAAATAAAGAGCACAATTTCTAAACTAGCACTGAATGCAGTCTTATTTCATGCTGACCTAGGTAGGATCAGAAAGCTGCTTTATGCAGCTGTGACTATTGAAACTCAGTTACCTTAATTGTATGAGCAGGAA